GGGGCACCTAGGTGGCTCAGTGGGTTGAGTGTCTGACTCTGGATTTCGGCTCAGGTCATGATCTCAGGGTCATGGGATGGAGTCTCAAGTCGGGCTCCATGCTCAGCGCAGAGTCTGCTTTGAGATTCTCTCTCCCTTTGCCCCTCCCCCCCATAAATAAAATCTAAAAAAAAGATGTTCAGACCTAAACACCTGCTGGTAACCAGCATAGGTACTCTCAACATTTGAGAAAAGGATGTAACTCTGTATATATTTCAGTATTTCCCCTACTCGTTTCATTCTAATTGAACATTTTGGAAGACCTTTCTGGATGCTTCTGATAAACTTGTTTAGCTGTTCTAGTTTTTTCTCATCTGTATAAAACAGGTTCACTTCCGAAGAACTAAGCATTCCCTGTCGTTATGGGAAATATAGTAAGACAAATGGCAAGTAGGGAAAGAACTCTAAAACTACATGCATCCACAGTCCCTGAATGTGATCCCATCAGTTGTGAAAGGTGGCAGCACATCAATGGGTACTTCATTGGATGAGTACAGGCTGAATATTATTATTTATAAGCCTAGGGTCTTGACTTGAGGAGCCATTGGGCAGGGCTAGATTATCCTATCAGAGGCTCTTTGTATCAAGTATTTTTCATTAAAGATGGGCCCTCTAGAGTGTGAAGTGACTGGCATATGCCACATAAAATTAAATTTCCCTTTACACTTAGGTCAAATGGATTCCTTCCCTCTTCTTCCTCTAATTAAATAATATTGTGGCTCACAATAATATTGATGCTACTAATCAGACTACAAGGAAGGCTATGGACTGGCTTCCCAGAATCAAACAAATATAGACAATTTCTCGGGAATTTGTAGATAACCTGAAGCAAATGAGACCCTGGATCCAACATAACCTCATTCTGAGGAAATTGTAAGTTACCTCAAATAATCCTTGGCAATTGGTGCCACTAAAAAAGTTGGCATCAGAATTAATTCAGGAAAGATTGATTCTTCAATAAATAACCAAGACAGAATCTGGGAATTTGAATGTGGCCATCAAGACTAAGAATGTGAGATAGTGGGTTGGGGGTGGTAATGCTTAAGGGTTTAAATCTTCTGTAACCCTTACCTCACTAGGTAGTCTTAGGTGATAGCCTTACCTGCAGTAACTTCCTTTCTCATGTATGTGAAATAGTACTTTTACTGGGATACACGGAAGCTGGAGGTTGCAAGAGAGCTCTGTGGTTACATGTATAAATTGCTGTAGGTACCCCACAAATAATTTTTATAAGCATTTGGCCCATGGTTGCTTACCTTCTACTTGTTACTGTGAAATACGTGTCTGGATCAAGGCAGTGACAGCATCTAAAAATGGAAGAAAAAGTATAAACCTGAGCCCACCTTTTGGGGTTAGACTAAAAATGGCAGTTGAGCGGCGAAGTCTTGGTTTTGGTGTGGGTTGTGATCTCAGGGTCGTGAGATCAAGCCCCACACTGGGCTTGTGATTAGCACGGAGTCGACTTGGGATGCTCTCTCCCTCCCTCTGCTTCTCCCCTGTGCACATGCACACACACAGCTCTAAATCCAAGTACCCACCTTTTATAACAGGGAAAAAGAATGCTAAGATGGAGTAGCAGGCAAAAGCACACTTTTCTCAGGGCACAGACAAGGGCATTTAATAATATAGGACAGAAAGGAAACTAGGAGCTCCTCTTTCCACTGTACTGTCAGTATGTGCGAATCAACTTTTGATCTCAGCCCGTGGGCCCAAGTACTCTTGGATTAATCATATCATCAGCCTGAAATCCTCCAGTAACTTCCCACTAAATTTGGAAAGCTCATTCCTTCCCGTCTATGAAGTCCTGATTGCTCTCACACACACACCCCTGCCACTGTACTTTCTACCCCGTTTCCTTCCCCCTTTTGACTCCTTTAAGCCCAGTCACTTGAGCCCTTTTTCGTCATTCATTGGGCCATGCTCAGTAATTCCTGCCTTGGGGCCTCTGCACTTAGGTTCCTTTCTCGGTTGTTGACTCATCAATCAGGTCAGATGGGCCCAGGTTATCACACACCCTGATTTACCTAAAACAGGACTTACAAACTAATGTTTCTTTTTCTTACCTCCTCCCCCACTTGAACCACTAACTAGGATGTGTGCTCTAATTTACCACTGTATCAGCAGAGCCTAAAGTGTAAAGAAGTGTCCAGTACGTATATGTTGAATTCGTGAATGCTAGCATGTGAGGTACTACTTTTAAACAAAAAGGCCAGTGGCCTTGGAATAAAAATTTTAAATTCACAAATACTACAATTTTGTGAAGGAATATAACACTCAGTACAAAACTGAGATGAATTACATCATTTAAAAGGTTGTGGCTTCTAGGAATCCAAACAGAAGTGACCCAGGCAGAAATGCCAACTTAAAATGGAAGTGTTTATATAAATTAACCCATCTAGTTGAATTGGCTATGTATGCTTCACTTAGTTCTGAAGAAGGAAGAATATATACTTCCCATATTAATAAATGACATCAAATAAGTAGGAAGAGTTTCAATAACAAGGCCATAGATACATTGAAACCCCTTTTTATATTAAAAGTTTAAATGAAAGACAAATCCAGGTTGAACATAGTGACTGCAAAATATAATGCAATTTTAAACAATTAAAATTATGAAAATATACAAAATTGATGGGCAACACAGCTAGGCATTTGTACATTTTACATTATGTGAAGAACACTAAAAATTTCTCTATGCTTTATCCACATCAATGATTTAAACCAAATGTTTGCTTTGGAGAGTCTTAACTTAGGATCTCAGTAGTATAAAAAGCAGTAATTTTTCAGTCTGTAAACAGTAGTCGTGTTTTTTCTTTCTTTTTTTTTAAATTATCAATTTACCACACAAAAACAAACACAACAACAACAACAAAAAACCCACACAAACCAAAAACAGCAGCAGCAGCAATGGGTTATTTGGGAATTCTCTTCAAATACCAATGACATAGAATTGCTGGAGGGTGCTTTTTACTCATGTAAGAATATATATATATATATATATTTTTTAAACTGTACACAATTTATAGTGCATAACAGTTTCCAAAAGAACAGATCAATAAAAGATATTGGCCATTTCTGCATAATTTCATTCTTTTTACAATTATCCCAAAATGTAAGAGGTTGGATCTAATTGAAATGCTACATTTAGTAGGAAAGTCAGCAAGTAACAAAGGAAGCATAACCTCGACATAACATTATTTGTCACTAAAACCAGGAGAGGTCCCAGGTGCCCCTAGGCAAAAGACTAGTTAGGTAGACCACTGGAGTCAAGCACTGTCCCTGAGGACCAAAGCCAGCTCACTGACCACACATATGCTAGATTGACCATGGTCAGCTGAAGACTTGTTTCATGGAGCATTTCTATTTCTATGTACAGTATTTTTGGATATTCAAAGAAACATCATTTCAAGAACACATGCCATACACACATATCCCCACCCTCATACACACACCAAGTTCCATCATTTTAAATAGGCAATAGTTTTATGAAATTATAATATGTTGTCATTAAATTAGATATGGAATCAATAAGAATTTTCAATTCATCTTGTTGAAGGCAGTTCTTCCATTTGGGATGGGGTATGGTGGCTGTGGGTACCAACTTATATCAAAAAATAACTTCTTGAAATTACTTGATGGACTAGGATTTCCAGGAAGTCTTATTTTGAACAGATAATGTAGTAATTTTCTTAAAAATCTCCTTGGAAGTTTAAGCAGCTATTAATCACCCTATCAAATTGTGAATCTAAGAAAGTCATGATGAGGGGACAAAATGCAATTGTTTTGCATACAGAGATTTTCCAAGCTCTCTTGTTTCCTTTTAAAAGAAAAAAGTATCACATTTCACTGGGGGAGGAGTAGGAAAGGACCTGTAAGGTCTTTAAGACCAATCAACCCTCCACCAGATGCTTGAATTTTCTCATAAAACTCATATCTTTACTCTTACAGAATTACTAACTTTAATGGTGTTTGAGTAACAAAGACCAAAAATAGAAGCACAGATTCAAATGCAAAAAGTTATCAAAGCAATTCTATAAACTGTATAACACTTTCAAGAGCAATGTTTATCTTTTCTGTCAGACCAACCTCTGAAGGTATAGTCTTGGGGAGCTCCAGGTGAGCAATGTAAACACCATCCTGGTGTAATTCTCAAGTTTGAAGAAAGTAGACCAAACGTCAAACCCCAATGGGTAACATTTCTTTTGCCAGCCTAAAACTTAAAACCTAGGTTAAGTCCATAATATACATTCCTTCCTTCCTCCCCAAACCCCCCACTTAAAAAACACTAAAGTATTAAATCTTTATTTTCAAGCACACACACACACATATATATATATATATATATATGTGCTTGAAAATATATATGTAAAGCATATACATATATATATATCTCACAAAACCAATGACATTGGTATTAGACTTGCTTGCATAAATTATGTACACCTCTCTTTGTTAAAACAGTGATTCCCATCTTTCCCAAAGATGGAGAAGACAGCAAGCTAGTCCTCAGCAGGCTCATAAGTGGTCTGCACTGCTTTCCCCTCCATATGATGTAAGTTAACACAAGCCTATCTGTGATTTAACTTTCACAGGAGCTACGATGGGGATTTCTTGGCTTTTGGACCATGAAGCCAAACACTGAGTGCCCGTGGTCATCTGAGTGGTGCTCTTCAGTGACAGGTGCTTATGCCAAATTTCATCTGAGGCTCTTTGGGTACCTGCTTCGGGTTCTGTGGGAGCCAAGCAGCTAAGGAAGCCTCAAAACTAAACTAATGTAGAAAGAGGGCCTTCTCCCAGTCCTGGTCCCCCTATACTTCTGCCTTCTGCTTCCTAAGGCTCAAGGACCAAACATCCACTACGATAATGGTAGGCCCATTCAGCTGCTCTGAGGTCAATGCTTTATGCTTAATTTCTATTGCTGCTTTTATAGGACCCCCCGTACCCACCCACCAGATGTTTCTGGTGATGGGAGGAAAGAAGAAAAGTGGGGCTCTCTTGTGGCTGCCATATGCATATGAACATGTATAAAAAGTGGTCAAACCCAGATGAGGGTCCTGCTTCTGCTTTATATACAATAATTTAATCAGTTGTATACATTTAATACCTAAAAAATTAATTCACAATCAAAGTCCTTCATGCATTTTATGAGGAAGTTCTGGATTAAAATGATGGTCAACCAGATGTAGCTTTTGCCTGGGAAGATGATGTCATTTTCTGCTATAGAGTCATTGGTGCCTGTGGTTCACGCCTCCTTAAATTTTTAGTTTCTTTGTGGTCTCCAGTCTTTTTTTCAGCAGCTCTCCAATTTCCAGAAGTGAGTGTAGATAACTGCTCTGCACCTTCCCTTGCACAGTCTTTGAAAATTTTCTCTCTTCCTACAAAGGAGATAAGAATTAGTGGTCTTGCTCTGAAAGCATTCCCCCAGATTATAGTTCCACTCATAGAAGTAAAAATTACCATTACCTTTGGTCTCACTGCAAGCTCCATCAGAATACAGTGGGTCATTTTCAATTTCAAAAAATGCAAAGAAGGCTTAAAGCTCATCACAGATGAGTATTTTTCCATGTGATTTTTCACTGACGCCCTACTGCTTTAGCATCATTATTCTTTCAATTCTTTCATCAGTATTGTTTTAAGTTATACAAAATAAAAAAACTGAGATTTCTGATTATTAATATTCATCCAGAAAAAAAGGTAGATAATTATTACTAAGTAGTCTGGATATAAAATCACTACTATTTTGTTATTAGCTGTACAAAATAGAAAAATTAAGATTTCTGATTACTTCATCAGAAAACAAAAGTAGAATTATTAATTTGGACATTATCAGAGCCACTTCTTAAAGGCATCAAATTTACCTTTTACCTTTGCCAAGTTTTCTAGTTACAATATTGATAGGTGTCCCTCCACACTGACAAAGTCCATGGGTTCCAGAGACCAAACAGCTAAAAAAAAATAATAAAGCTTTCCTAGACCTCCTCAAATATGTGCTAAGTAGAGACTACAAAAGATAAAGGGATGGAGTATTCAAACAAGAGAAAGGAGGCTGGTTGAGAACTGGTTAGGGTTACATGAAGTTGGCAGTATTGCAAAGTCCTGAAGAACCCAAGGAAGCACACCTTTTGGCTGAACAATATTACCTTGAAACCTCATCTACTTTGGAAATACACATGTGCGTTAGTAGAGAACGTATGTAAAATACACCTCATTCAGGACTGTAGTAAATGTATATAAACAACTAAAATATCCAATGGCTATGATCCATTCATATTTTGAATACCATACAGTTGTTTAAAAGAGTAAGACTGATGTATATGCATTAGCCTGAACAAATCTCTTGAACATAAAGTTAGGTGAAAAAAAAGCCAAGTTTCAGTGTAAAATAGAGTTTATCATTTACTTCCAAAAACCTAACAGCTATTAGAGTACATTATAAGGTTACATTAAAAGGTCTTGGCAAACAACCAGTTTCAGTGGATACCCCTAGGGAAGAGGAAAAAGGACTAAGACTAGAGGTGGCAGCCCAGAGGCATAGTGTTTCAAGTGAAGAAAGAAAGAAAAAAGAAGTAAACCTAGTGGAAACTGAATTGAAGAAGAAAAGAATTTTTTTCACCCAAAAGACAAATAGCCAGCACTATATGGACCCTACATTTGGTGGCTGGTGCTGCTTGGTATAAGTATTACGACTTCAATAAAAATAGGCAATAAAATACCCCATCCTCCCATACCCCCTCCATTACTGTTTTGTGTAATCCTCACTATAATCCTATAAAAGAGGTATTATGATTTCCATTTTACAGATAAAGAAATTGAGGCCCAGGAAGGTTAAGTGACTTCCCAAGGTCAAAAGATAAGGATGGGGCACCTGGGTGGCTCAGTCAGTTAAGCATCCAACTCTTGGTTTCAGCTCCAGTCACGATCTCAGGATTGTGAGATCAAGCCCCGCATTGGGCCCTGTGCTCAGCAGGGAGTCTGCTTGAGATTCTCCCTCTGCTCGTGCTCTGTCTCTCTCTCTCTTCTCTGTCAAATTAAGTTTAATCTTAAAGATTTTATTTATTTATTTGACAGAGAGAGTGAGCACGAGCACGGGGAGCAGCAGCAGAGGGAGAGGGAGAAGCAGACTCTCCACGGAGCAGGGAGCCCGATGCGGGGCTCGATCCCAGGACTCTGGCATCATGACCTGAGGTGAAGGCAGACGCTTATCCTACTGACCCACCCAGGTGCCCAAGTAAATAAAATCTTAAAGAAAAAAAAAAAAAGATAAGGACAGAGTCAGTCTTGAAAAATCTAAAGTAGCCCAAAGTTAAAGATAACCTTCAGAATGAATACTTAAAATGAGAAATCTTACTCCTCACATCAGAAGGCACAGATCCTTTAACAACAACCACACAACCAGCAACAGCGGGCTACTGTGCCTGTCATCTTTGTACTGGACAGTCCTTCCCACATACCATGTGCTCCAGCTCTGCCGACCGACTCACGGCGCCCCCACACAATTCACCTTTCTACCTCCCTGTTTTTGTCTGCCTCTTTCTGCTTTGGACTCCTTTCATCCATTCTGGTCTACCTAGTGAAAACTTATTAATCCTTAAAAGTCCCCTCTCTGGTAAGACTCTTTCTGACTCACTCAGTTTTTGTGCCTCTATCATATGTCCAAATTAATTTGTATGCATCTCTCTACAGCCGGGTCTTTTTTTTCAAATTAACATATAGTGTATTAATAGTTTCAGAGGTAGAGTCCAGTGATTCATCAGTCTTATATAACACCCAGTGCTCATTATATCACATGCCCTCCTTAATGTCCATCACCCACTTACCCCACCCTTCCACGCCCCTCCCCTCCAGCAACCCTCAGTTTGTTTCCTATGATTAGGAGTCTCTTATGGGTTGTCTCCCTCTCTGATTTCGTCTTGTTTTATTTTTCCCTCCCTTCCCCTATGATCCTGTTTTGTTTCTTAAATTCCACATGAGTGAGATCATATGATAACTATCTTTCTCTGATTGACTTATTTCATTTAGCATAATACCTCTAGTTCCATCCACATTGTTGCAAATGGCAAGATTTCATTTTCTGATGCCTGAGTAGTATTCCACTGTATAGCTATACCACATCATTCTTATCCATTCATCTGCTGATGGACATCTGGGCTCTTTTTTTTTTTTTTTTACCTTTTTAAAATAGAATTTATTTAATTTTAAGTTTATATAATTTCAGTTTTGTTGATGGTTATGTTTTTGTTTTTTTTTTTTGACAGGAAGTAGGTTTTATTGGTGGGCATGAATAGGGAGGGGGCAGTGCTGAGGTTCTCATGAGTGCAGAGCCCTCCATTTGTCCAAGGGGCCACGATTAGGGATGTATTTGACCCCACAGCTATCTGGGATAAGCCACTTTTCAGCCACATGTCTTCAAATTCATCCGCATTAAACTTAGTAAAGCCCCACTTCTTGGAGATGTGGATCTTCTGGCAGCCAGGGAACTTGAACTTGGCCCTGTGTAGGGCCTCAATCACATGCTCCTTGTTCTGCAGCTTGGTTCGGATGGACATGATGACTTGGCCAATGTGGACCCTGGCTACTGTGCCCTGGGACTTTCCAAAGGCACCCCGCATACCTGTCTGCAGCCTAGATTGGAGATAGCATGAGGTCAGACCTCAATATCCACTGGAAAGGGCTGTCTCCAAGGTCCCTTAGGGCAACCCATACAATCAACCGGCTGCATACACTACCAAGGAGGTTACTGTTTGCAGCCATGGCACACTGGGCCCCCATGGACAGGACATCTGGGCTCTTTCCATAGTTTGGCTATTGTGGACATTGCTGCTCTAAACACTGGGGTGCACGTGCCCCTTCCGATCACTGTGTTTATATCCTTCAGGTAAATACCCAGTAGTGCAATTGCTGGGTCATAGGGTAGCTCTATTTTCAACTTTCTGAGGAATCTCCATACTGTTTTCCAGAGCTACAGCCAGGTCTTTTGATCACTGTATTTTATGAGCATTTACCCAAAACGGCAAGCTCAATAAATTTATATTAACAATCTCAAAGGTACCCACCAGCAAAGCCCAATGAAGCATGTGACATGAAGCAATGTGACATTCATTCCAGTTTGTGATCTTTAAGATATTTTTTAAGATTTTATTTATTTGTCAGAGGGAGAAGGAGCAGGAGGCAGAGGGAGAGGGAGAAGCAGGCTCCTTGCTGAACAAGGAACCCGACGTGGGGCTCGATCCCAGGACCCTGGGATCATGACCAGAGCCGAAGGAAGACGCTTAACTGACAGCCATCCAGGCGTCCCTAAGATTTTTTTTTTTTAACAATACTATAATTTTGATTTTTATTGTTCTACAATATTCAGGAAAGGGGATGAGAGTTTGGGGTAGAGAATAAGTTTGGGTTTGTCCTAAAAAGTCAAATAGCTGGAAATCTACCACTAATTACCATATTTCTCTATATGTAAAAGTGTTCCAAATGGACCATCAAGTATCTCTTCTTTCAGAGGGGTGTGCAAGTGGGAGGTAGAAGGCAAAAATCCTAGCTAGGAGGTACCTATTTCTCAAGAATTCAATTACTAGGGGCGCCTGGGTGGCTCAGTTGGTTAGGTGACTGCCTTCCATGAGCCTGGAGTCCTGGGATCTAGTCCCACATCGGGCTCCCTGCTCAGCAGGGAGTCTGCTTCTCCCTCTGACCCTCTTCCCTCTCGTGCTATCTCTCATTCTCTCTCTCTCAAATAAATAAATAAAGTCTTTAAAAAAAAAAAAAAAAGAATTCAATTACTAGGCCTTTACTGGCTCCCCAAGTGCCCAGAAGTCATAAGGCTAGTGGCAGATACAAATGTGTTATAGGAATACAGAAGAGGAAGAGGTGGGAATGGTTCTGATGATGAGACTGGGACTTATCTGGGGCTGAGAAATGAGAGGTGCTATTCTCTATTTCCAATAGTATAGAGTATATTTCTATATACTTCTGTGTATTGTCTATAGTATATATGCTATAGTATCGTATGCTATCATTTGTGTTTAAAAGTGAAAGGTTGTGGGGAAGGAAACAGACATCATATGCTTGTAGCTGGGTTATCGACTCAGGAAGATTGTACAAGAAACTACCAACAACAATGGTTCCTTCTTGGAAACGAACAAGGAAATGTGTTAGAATGGGAGGAAGACATTTCACTATACAGTCTTTATTTATGCCACATGTTTTTTACCATGTGCTTATTTTACTTTTTAAAACAATTTGTAAAGCTTGAAAAAAGGACGACTAAATAAATAAAACAAAAATACTAAAGAATTAATCCATCAATTAGTCCTACTCACCACTGAAGTCTATATTCATTCTAATGTATATAGGAAAGACAGCTTAACGGTCTAAAACCAAACTTCTAGTGTCACCTCTGAATATATCTGCTTTCTTTAACCAGTCTTTAGAAATGTTATTAAAGGCTCTGAGCCCCTTCCCACAGTGAGCCCCTTGTTTATAGCTCTAATGAGTTGAAGCTTTACAAAAGAGGGGCTTAACAATCTTTAAAACTGGTGTGCCAAATAAGATTCCATTCATTCTCCTCCTGGGAAGGTCTGGGGCTAGAAATGATGGCTGCTCTCATTAGTGGATGAGCTCCCTCACTAGCAGAGGCTCAGGTCAGATGAACTCCTCAAGGGAGCACTCCCTCACGACTGGAGTTTCATCACTAGAGCAACTAGGCTGGTGAATGTTTACTCACCTGACAATCATTTCAGACTGAAAGTTTATTAATTTAAATTTTTTAAAGAATACATATCTTTTTTTTTTTAAAGATTTTATTTATTTATTTGAGAGAGAGAGAGAGAATGAGAGATAGAAAGCACGAGAGGGAAGAGGGTCAGAGGGAGAAGCAGACTCCCTGCTGAGCAGGAAGCCCGATGTAGGACTCGATCCCGGGACTCCAGGATCATGACCTGAGTCGAAGGCAGTCGCTTAACCAACTGAACCACACAGGCGCCCTAAAGAATACATATCTTAAAGGCAAGACTTTACAAGGATTTTGCTAACAAATTTTTAAGAAACTAGCCTAAAGTAATTACCAGGAGAAATCTAATGAGTGATACCTTTGATTCCATGCTTGGCTCCATTCCCCCTTTTGACTGGCTTACGCTCCAGCCTAATTATTACTGACATAATTATTTATGATGTCCAGCATCTCTTTTTCAGGTGATAACTGCTGGGGTAGCAAAAAAACCAGCCAACCCAGCAGCAGGTAACTTCTCACTCAAGGAGACTGTCCCTGGATCTCCCTGGTTTCCTCTGTTGTTCACAATACGAACAGTTCTAATTGTATTCCTCATTAATTAATCATCAGTTTTCACAGTAAAAGAACAACCCCCAAAATGTACAGAAAGGAGGTAATGGGGTGGGGAGAAGTGAAGGGGGAGGGGAACCCACCACCAACAATGACACAACAAAACACTGCTACCAGGCACCTTCCAATCACAAGTCCTATATGGAACAGATGATGAATTGAAATTAACTTGTCCTTGTGATAAAGAAAAGAACACTTGAGTATCTCAAATAACTTACTGCTGATCACCTATAGTCTCTTACCAGTGAGAGAGAAGTATCTTCTAAAATAAGTTCTTCAAGTTTAAGTGCAATTAGATGTGTTTCAAGCCCTTTAATATGATCCACGACGTTGGAAATTAAAGTCTGAAGCCCAGTAACATAGTCTTGGAAACTGGTGAAGACAGGTGGCTGGAAAAAAAGATTTTTAAAAAGATGAAAGAGTATCAAACATATTTCCTCTGCTTACATCTCATAAGCTATATTAACTTCCTGCTCCAGTATTACTTAATGCTATTAATAGTAACCAGGGTGGACACAGTTTTGGATATTAAGACAGTCTCTCAAACCAAGGTAAACTTAACTGCCACCAAATAATGCTTAACTCAGCAACAATGAGAAGCATTTTTTTTAAATGGGGTTTATTCACTCTGGGGAACTGGAGATGGAAAAACCAATAGAAAATATCTTAGTTGGTCATTACTCAACTTCAGGCTGAGAATCTTCTGGAACACTAAAGAAGATGAGAGGAACCAAAATATCATTTCTTCTCTATATGTCTTTGAGATTTCCTCTAATGTTAATAACAGAAATAGAGTTTTCTAAGTTCCAATAGAAAAAATAATGGGTAATGGGGCGCCTGGGTGGCTTAGTCATTTAGGAGTCTGCCTTCGGCTCAAGTCATGATCCCAGGGTCCTGGGATCGAGCCCAGAAGCCTGCTTCTCCCTCTCCCACTCCCCCTGCTTGTGTTCCCTCTCTTACTGTGTCTCTCTCTGTCAAATAAATAAAATCTTAAAAAAAAAAAATGGGTAACAACAGTCACAAAAATTCTGAAAAATAGCAATTAAGGGGAACTTGCCCTCATATATATTATACTATAAAGTTACATGAAATCCAGACAGTACTGGTATATAAGTGAAGTAAAAAGTGAAAGGAAACAAGTCCCAAGATAAACCAAAGACTATAAGGGAATGTAAATCGTGCCATCTCAAAACAGTGGTTTGCAGTGGATGAATGGTACTGAGATAACTAGCTAGACATCTGAAAATATAAAATAGGGGCACCTGGCTGGCTCAGTCAGTAGAGCATGCAACTCTTGATCTTGGGGCTTGTGGTCTTGAGTTCAAGCCTCACCTTGGGTGTAGGGATGACTTAAAAGTAATTTTTTTTAACATTTACTTATTTGAGAGAGAGAGAGTGAGAGCAAGCATGTAAGTAGGGATAAGGGCAGATGGAGAAAATCTCAAGCAGACTCCCCACTGAGCACAGAGCCCAATAACCCATGAGATCATGACTTGAGCCAAAACCAAGAGTTGGATGCTTAACCAACTGAGCCACCCAGGTGCCCCCAAAATAAAATCTTTTAAAAAATAAACAAAATAGGGGCGCCTAGGTGGCTTAGTCATTAAGCATCTGCCTTCGGCTCAGGTCATGATCCCAGGGTCCTGGGATCGAGCCCCGCATCGGGCTCCCTGCTCCATAGGAAGCCTGCTTTTCCCACTCCCCCTGCTTCTGCTCCTTCTCTTCCTGTGCCTCTCTGTCAAATAAATAAATAAAATCTTAAAAAAATTAATTAAAAAAATAAACAAAATAAAAAGTACCAAAATAAATTCCAAATAGAGTAAATATCTAAGTTTTAAAAAATCCACCAAAGCACCAGAAGAAAATTGAGGTAAAGGCTTGTATAATAAATTGAAAAGGCTTTCTAAACATTACACCAAGCTAAGAACGATTAAAAAAATTTTTTTAATTACTATGTTGACCAAAAAATTACTCAAGTTAAAAGGTAAATGAAAAACTAAAAAAAACTGCATCATATGGGATACAGAATTAATAACATTATTAAGAGCCCAATAGCTTAAAATATATCATTAGGAAAAATACTACCACAAATGGAAACCTGGGCAAAGATATGAACAGAAAATATATCAAAGAAATCCCAGCAACATATGACACAATTTAAAAATCAGACAAACACAAGAAACCTGGCCAATCAGTTAGTAAAGCAAGCTCATGCACTCTCTCATTCTCTCTCTCAAATAAACAAAATCTTAAAAAAAAAAAAAAAAAGTTAACGGGATACATCTATGTATCTCCAAAAGAGATGTCCAAGGTACCCTGTTAAGTGAAAACACAAACAGGCAAGTTGCAGATATAGAGCATAATTCTGGCTTGTTTGCAGTGGTGATCACTGGTTGGTGGGAATATGAGTGATCTTCACTTTATTCACACCTTTAGGTTACTTCGATGATCAAAAAAATAGGAAAGCTGTTCTCATTTTTAGAAATTAGAAAAGCAATAACTACAAACCACCACCACCCCTGCCCCAAAATCCAAATACCAATAAGCTATTCAACATGTTCTAGGAACATAGGCTTTCATTAGAGGAAGAGAATAACAGAGCAACTTTTATCTGTATTTTCAAACTTTACATTCATGATCTGTTAAATTATCTTGAAAAAAGAGAGAAAGTTCCTTCACTTAGCCCCTCATCCAAATATAACTAACCTTTGTTTCTGAATGAATGGAAACATCCAGCAAAGCACAGTGTCAAATCTAAAGAATTCCTGAATTATTACTGAATTATGCACGAAGTCCATATTACCACTAAAACCATCAACATTTTCAAATGATAATAGTCACTATATGTTGCTACAGTGAAGAAAAATCTCCCATTTAGAATGATAGGATAAACTCAAACATTAATAAAACAGCATGTCCTGTGCAGAATGAATCCTAAATAACTTTCCTTATGAAAAGGATACAAATTATGTTAATGTTTTACACATTCGAAAATTAAATCAATAAAGATGGGAGGACACTCCAAAATTGAGGACAAAGAGAAATAAGTGAATCTTATTTATAACATACTAATAATATAATCTCAGTTTTTAATTACAGTGTTTTTACCGAGTACCTCAACTGTTTCTATTCACTGCAACATATTCTAAGAACAAAGAAAAACTGCAAAAAATTTGAACTGTATTTAGTCGCTTATTGAAACTAGTAATGCAAATGATATACTGATATAATTCCAAAACTATTTAGTATTTCTTGTAAAACAAGTGAAATAAATATATTGATGCTGTAGGGAACCGGGGTTCAAACTTGGAGCTACAAACTAGAATGAGGGAAAGAAAAGAAGGAAGAATGCTATGATGCTGGACTAAAACTGGAGGTATAAGTAAGAATTAATTATTCTGTGTGTTTGCATGTGTAAAGTAAATAAATTTCCTGTCTCTTTCCACTAACATAAACTTGAAACCCCATTAACAATTAGTACACCTAACACCTAGATCTTGGTTTTGAAATGCCACTCCCCATAAAGGAACCAGGCAGGGCTCCTTCGAAAAATGTCTCAGTTCAGTTCAAGGGAACAAAGAGGATGGAGCATTTTTGCTGTTCCAAAAAACAAGGGCTCCAAAGCTGGTGAAGACATGTTCAAAGACAGGAACCAGCTTAAAGTCGCTCCCATTAGCCAAATCTGAGCATGCACAACAGAATGATTATAATGGATTAGAAGAGAAATTTTAAAAAGAATGATACTCAAATAGATAGTAATATTAAAAACTATACACACAAATATATATATATATATATATGAATGGGGGTGAGACAGCTCTATTTTACAGAAAAATGCTAATAGGTGATAAAGGATTGACAGAATTTTTAAAAATCACCATTATGGCACCATCAGTGTACCAAATGATTCATGCAAGTTAGGCTTAACAGTGGATGCTACTAAAACCAGTAGGTGAAAGGCTGGTAAGGGAACAGGATTATTCACAGCCTCAAAGCATCATCCTACAGATGACTTAGTAACTACAGGGGGAAAAGGCACCTTTACAATGAAGAAATCCATAGACATTTCCTTTATCAAATAATTAAATCTAAAAGCACCAAAAATGGGACATAACAACCTTAGTGCCTCCTGATTTAATGTGCTAAAACAGATGCAGCATTTTTGTTGAACCTAAACCCAAAGAAATAATTAACCAAATCCAGACTGCAAGACATTCTACCAAAAACCTAGCTATGACTCTCTTCAACAAAAAAGGCTATGGAAGTATTTTAGATTAATGGAGGGTAAAAAGACATGAGAACTAAAAGCCAGGTCAGATCCTTAATAGGATTCTAGTATTTTGAAAAAGGCTATAATAAAGGACACAATTGGGATAAAGGGGGATATCTGAATATGGACATTATAATATTATTTTATCAATATTAATGTCTGGACTGTGAAAATTTGAGCAATGTGGTTTTGTAGGAGACTGCCCTGTTCTATCCTGTTAAGTATCACAAAGTCTATACTTTTCTTTCAAACAGTTCAACAAACAAGGGGGGTAGATGACAGGATGAGAGAGAGAAAGATAAAGCATATGGGGCAAAGTGGTATCAACAAGCGAATCTAGGTAAGGAATCTTGGTGTCATCATGCTAGTGTTTCGGCTTTACTATAGGTGTGTAATTTAAAAACAAAAACAAGCTGGGGAGAGAAAATGAGTACACAGGATCCTAAGGTCTCTTATAATATGCAGGAAAACAGTGAAAAGAAAAAGCAGCATGCAGCCAGGTTGTATTTTCTCTGTTATTACCATGATGATGCTGGTTTCTTTTTTCTTCTTTTTCTTTTTCTGTAAATTTAATTTGTATGGTCGTAGGACACTCTCACAGTAACTGGACACCCAAAGGATAATAGAAATAGTCTAAAAGAGGAAAAATTGCAAATTCATCAATAAGGATTATACTCAAGACATCTATCAGGAACAGTTAAGGGTTATGGATTAAACAATCCTTGCTGACAGTTCTTCTGTGCAAATCCCTTCAAATTCTTCTCTAGCTCTCTACTACAGATTAGAGAGATTAATTTCTACAATTACCACACAGATCCAGAAGACCTTCATCTGAATACTGCTCAGAATACTATGATTGCTTCAATCTTTAACCTCACTTCTAGCTCATCCAGCCCTAAAGCCATCCTCCACTTGGTCCAGTTTCCTTTCACTCCCTTACAGGAAGTAGAAATACCTTTCACTCAAATGAGAGGTCCAAATTCCTATGCATGGAATCCAAAGATTCGTTACAATATGCCTCTCCCCACCCACCTCCCAGCCCAGTAAGATATTAGCTCACCTACAAATCTTAACTTAAATATAAACAGAGAGGGGTGCCTGGCTGTCTCAGTCAGTTAAGCATCCAACTCTTGATTTCGGCTCAGGTCACGATCTCAGGGCTGTGAGATCAAGAACAATGTCAGGCTCCATGCTGGGCGTGGAGCCAACTTAAGATTCTCTCTCCTTCGGGGCCCCTGGCTCAGTTGGTTAAGCATCTGACTCTTGATTGAGGCTCAGGTCATGATTTCAGGGTCATGGGATAGAGCGCCACATCGGGCTCTGCACTCAGCACAGTCGGCTTGTCCCTCTCCCTCTGTACACTCTCTCTCAAATAAATAAATAAAATCTTTAAACAAAAAAAGATTCTCTCTCTCCCTCTGCCCCTCCCCCATGCTCTCTCTAAAAAAAACAAAAACAACAAAAAAACGCAAAAAACAGAGAAATCTCCTTGGTCAGCACGTTTCCTCCTTTAAGTTACGTGTTTATACCTATGCTTCTTCTCTGCTACAGAGTGTATGGACACACCCATGCAATTATTACTGATTTGTTCAGTCTTAAGACACTTACACTGTGCCAGTCACCAAAACAGACTAGGAGGAGGAGAAAAGTAAATAAACATGTGACAAAAATAAGATAATGGATTATGAGTGTTTGCAATCCTCCTCTTCTCTCTGGTTAAAAAAGAGGAGAAAGTTTTGCTGAATCAGCACCCGGATTTTCCTTCATAATACAGAATCTTAGGGGCGCCTGGGTGGCTCAGTCGTTGAGCGTCTGCCTTCGGCTTGGGTCGTGGCCCCAGGGTCCTGGGATTGAGCCCCATGTCGGGCTCCCTGCTCAGCGGGAGGCCTGCTTCTCCCTCTCCCACTCCCCCTGCTTGTGTCCCTCTCTCACTGTGTCTCTCTCTGTCAAATAAATAAATAAAATCTTAAAAAAAAAAATGCGGAATCTTAGTAATTAGTGAATAGCAACAAAAAATTTAAAAAGCTGGTGGCTGGAGATGAATGGATAAAGAAGATGTGGTATATACATACAATGGAATATTATGCAACCATCAAAAAATGAAATCTTGCCATTTGCAATGATGTGGATGGAACTACAGGGTATTATGCTAAGCGAAATAAGTCAATCAAAGACAATTATCATATGATTTCACTGATATGTGGAATTTGAGAAACAAGGCAGAGAATCATAGGGGAAGAGAGGAAAAAATGAAACAACAAAACCAGAGAGGGAAACAAATCATAAGAGACTCTTAATCTCAGGAAACAAACTGAGGGTTGCTGGAGTGGAGCAGGATGGGAGGGATGGGGTGGCTGGGGTGATGGACATTGGGGAGGGTATATACTATGGTGAGTGCTGTGAATTGTGTAAGACTAATGAATCACAGAGCTGTACCCCTGAAACAAATAATACATTATATGTTCATTAAATAAATAAATAAATAAATAAAAATAAAAATAAAAGGCTGGTGGTTGGGGTTGCTGGGTGATGGACACTGGGGAGGGTATGTGTTGTGGTGAGCGCTGTGTACTGTGTAAGACTGATGAATCACAGACCTGTACCCCTGAAACAAATAATATATTGTATGTTAATAAAAAAAAAAAAATCCATGGTAAAATAAATAAATAAATAAATAATAAACAAAGAGCTGGTGGTTAACTTAAAATATGTAACAGTTGAGTCAAAAAGGAAAGAGAAGAACAGACAGATTTGGAGTGAATCTGAGGAATTTTTAAAGATTGGTAAAGCAAATTGCAAGTTTTATTCATTACGAACAAAACCTTCTTAGTATGCTTGGAAGGAACTCATTCAAAAATGATGAGGGGGTGGGGGGACGGGTTAGCCTGGTGATGGGTATTAAAGAGGGCACATATTGCATGGAGCACTGGGTGTTATACGCAAACAATGAATCATGAAACACTACATCAAAAACTAATGATGGGGGTGCCTGGGTGGCTCAGTCGTTAAGTGTCTGCCTTCGGCTAAGGTCATGATCCCAGGGTCCTGGGATCGAGCCCCGCACTGGGCTCCCTGCTCCACGGGAAGCCTGCTTCTCCCTCTCCCACTCCCCCTGCTTGTGTTCCCTCTCTCACTGTGTTTCTGTCAAATAAATGAAATCTTAAAAAAAAAACAAAAAACTAATGATGTAATGTATGGTGATTAACATAATAAAATAAAATTTGAAAAAAATTTTTTTAATGATTTAAATTGCTTTTCACTTAACAAAAGGTGGGGGTGGAGGATTAAATTACAGGTGTACGGTGCCTATTACCTGTTCATTTTTAAAAAATTAATCCTTCACTCAATTAAGGAAAACCGAGTTTTTCAGGAAGAGAACAAAGACATACCTCAACAAAGAAGACTAGGTTCTCTAAAAGAGCAGGGCGTGTTTTCAAGTTACCATCTTTAACTTCTAAGAGGTCACCTTTACATCTACTGAAGACATCTGAAAACAGGAAAGTATTTTATTGTTTTATTCAGCTTTTGTTTCAATGATATTTTTAGGAATACAAATGTACACTCTAATGAAGAGTAAGCAAATACAAAAAGCTTAATCCAGAAAGCTTTTCCCCCCACAGTGAACCAAACAACAAAGGATATCTATTTTAAGCTTTTTAATCTCTACCCCCAAGGTGGGACTCAAACTCACGACCCCAAGATCAAGAGTCGCAGGCTCTACCAACTGAGCCAGCCAGGAGCCCCTACTTTAAGCTCTTTAAAAAGCCATGTAACTATTGCTCTGTTGCCTTCAAAATATAAAAGGTGGCCTTATAAATTATATATTCTAGAGTCTAAACACCAGCTAGCCTTTCCACAAACAGGCCACTGCCACAATAAAATTAAGACTCCAAATGAATGACTTAAAAGAATGTATGCCATTATGGACTAAAAGACTAAGGCGCAAAATAGAAATTCACCTTTATAATAAATGCCATGTTTTATTCTCACAATCTTTGTCTTTTAATTATCATTCTTCAGTTGGGCAGTAAAATAAAAGACCATTTATGCTCTTGAAAAGAAAGACCCTTATAGATTTGAAATGCATTTATGTCCTCTTGTACCAAACAATTCTATTTCCAGGAATTTAATCCCAAGGAAATGCTCAAGTAAGTACCCAAACACTTATGTCCCAAGATGCTCACTTCAGCATTATTATAAATACAGTTATGAATAACTCAAGTAGATAGTATGTTATATACTCCATGGGGCATACATAAATAAACTTAGTACACTGATACAGTACTGTGGCATATTATATATAACTGACATGGTAAATGTTCAAGACAAAAAAACATTAAAATAAAAAAAAGTATGTATTATACCTTTTCATGTGTTTAAAAAAATAAAATCACTACTATGTATTTCCACATACACATGTAAGACTGTTTAGGGGGCATCTGGGAGTACAGACTCCAAAACTGATACTTACCTTGTAAGTAAAAGTATTTACTTCTCTTTGGGGGAATGGAGCTGGGAATGGGAGAAAGATCATATCCACTTGTGTACTGTTTTATAGTAGGTTGTCTACTACTTTTGTAATCAACACTTTTTAAAATTAAAAATAAGTCTTTCAAAATACCAAAAGTATGCATTATTACTTTCAAGTTGTTGTTTGCAACTCTTGCAAATTTCTGCTAAAAAAAAAATGAGTTCCTGTCAGACAAGCAATAAAATATGGGAGTCCACAGTCAGAATGCTTACCTTTTAATTGTTCTAGTAAAGACTTAAGACTATTCTCTACTCGATCCTGGATCTCCACTGTATCCTCTAAAATTGGAAGAAAAAAAAAATGAAAAAACATTCGATTCATTTTTTTAGGAAGAAAAAGAACTAAGATCAACAACTGCAAGCAACTCATGGGCAAGGACATTTTCTTTACTCTTAAGACTCATAGGTATCAAATTTCATTACTAAGAGACAAAAAGATAAAAGAAAGTAAAAGGAAAAAAGGGCATTAATTACCTTTCTCTCAAAAGTAATACCTAAAGTTCTCTAGGAAGACTTAAAATCTATGTGCTTCAAATACTCTCAATGACAGAATCCACAAACCTTATGATTTGGCGGGGGGAATTAATGGAATATGTGTGATTCACACTGAGTTAGGAAAATAGTCTTTTACACAAAGTTTCGTAGAGAATTCAATCTGAAATCCAACAATACTTCAACAAATTAAGGATTTTTTTCAACTTTTGGACCTAACAAGTGATTTTAAGTAGGGAAGATTTAAATTTCTAAAACACTACTTGGTAACCTAGGAATGTACCTTCTTTGATATTAAACCAGACACTTCCAGAACACGTTCCGCCTCCTCCCAATCTGTCCAAATATGTGAACTGTTATATTTACTAAGTTTTCAAAGACAAAGACCTAGTAAATACACTCATGCAAATGTATACTTACCTAAACCACTGGTGTCCAGCTCATAAATATCACTAACAAGATAAAAAGCACTGGTCTGACACTGAGAACAGCCAGAACTAAAGAATCCAGCCATTCTGGTAGGTACAGGACCAAGGAAAGGATACTGGAAAAAAAGGGGAAAAAGTAATGTCCTTTAAATCCATCTAAATTTATATAAAACAAGAAAACACGGGACTATAACTATCGGATAAAGTCTATCTCAGTGATTAAGTTGCAAACCACTGATCTAATTAAACTAACAACTGAATCATTATGGTGAAAACAGAAACTCCGTATTAGTTTGCTGAGAGCTATTAAAAATACCATTTTTAATGGTATTTACCATTACAAATAAAGCTATTTGCTTTTCCTCGCTATCCAATTTGGATAATGAGGAAGGCTCTGTAATTCCCAAGTCTATAAAATCAGGTTTTTCCTAGAGGTGCCATAAAGTGGGACAAAATACTGTTCTTTTACCATTCATCCACCCCCAAATTTCTATTTTTAAAAAGACAGTCATAGGTTATTGCAGCTTTGATGGTAAACACATATTGATGATACCTGAACTTCCTTCTCAATAAATCGCTTTCCCGTCTCCATGGCCACCTCCAGCTGTTGAAGGAGTAAACGAAGAATATCAATCCGGGAGGACACACCATTCTCAGTGGTCTTTTCCGAGTTCCTTGGCTCCACGGGGTGGTTTAGACTTGGAAGTCCACTGATCAGCCTCAATGTTAAGGAACGGATTCTTAACCACATGGTCTCCTCCTCCAAGGAAAGTTTCTTATGTTCTTCAGAAACATCCCTTAAAAAGAAACATCCCCAAACCATCCATTTTATTCAATGTGTTGCCTTTACATCTTTTAGGCTTTACTTCCAACAGGCAAGATGCCATTGAATGGTCCCGGTGCTCGTCTCCTAGCTGAATGATCTCAGATAAACCCAATCACCCAAGTCCCCAATTCAGGATCAATAAAATGGGGAATGATAACCTACCTAACAGGTCATTTTTCCGCTTCAGTGAGACTTCTAATAACAAAATATTTATCATGTATTTTGTTGAAAATGTTGAAAATTCTTGTATCATTTTCAACAAAATACACGATATAAAAACTTCAAATGACGGAAAACTGAAAAATAGAAAAATGTGCGATAACCAAACATCTGCAATATTAACAAGCTTGGTATCAATCCTTTCAGACTCTTACAATACAGATGTACAAAACTGCAACTAAAAATATTTACATAGGGGCGCCTGGGTGGCTCAGTCATTAAGCATCTGCCTTCGGCTCAGGTCATGATCCCAGGGTCCTGGGATCAAGCCCCGCATCAGGCTCCCTGCTCTGTGGGAAGCCTGCTTTTCCCTCTCCCACTCCCCCTGCTTGTGTTCCCCCTCTCGCTGTGTCTCTCTCTGTCAAATAAATAAGTAAAATCTTTAAAAAATATATATATATATAATTTGACATGTTTTAAATAAAATGGGTTCATAATATTTATACTATTTTGCAAACGACATCTTTTTTGACAGTGTGCAGAAAAGAGTTAACATAGAAAGCCTGAGGCTATTATCTTTAGAAGGGCCAGCTTGCGAGGTTGACCTTTAGCTGATGTCTAGGAACTTGGCACTCCAACCATTCCCTAAATGATAACAGTGGCTCACTATGCCTAGGCTTTTTGTACAAACCATATGGTCTATGGTGAACATCTGCTTTCCTTCTGGGAGTCTGGAATGTTGACACATGATGGACAGAGGGTGCTTACATAACCAGCTGGTAAAAACCTTGGGCACCAAATCTCAAATGGGCTTCTCTGGGCAGAAATGCTACACACACATCACTGCATTTTTTTGCTGCTAGGAACGCAGGAGGGAGAGAGCACTGGAAGTCTGCGCATGGAGTTTTCCAGATTCTGTGTCTTTTTCCCTTGCTAATCCTATCATTTGTCCTGTTATAATAAACCTTAGCTGTGAAGACAACTATAGGTTAATTATGAGTCCTAGCAAATCACTGAATGTGGTCTTGGCAATCCCCAAATCATAGTGCAGTTGACATTTGAACAACACTGATTCAAAATGCATGGGTCCACTTATGCACAGATTTTTTTTTTTTTGGTAAATACAGTACAGTACTGTAATGTATTGTCTCCTCCTTGTAATTTTCTTAATAACATTTTCTTTCTCTAGCTTACTTTATTGTAAGAATACAGGATATAATATACGACATACAAAATATGTGCTGATCAATTGTTCATGTTATAGGCAAGGCTTCCAGTCAATAGTACGCTCTTAGTAGTTAAGTTTCTGGGGAGTTAAAAGTTACACATGGATTTCCGACTGTGCAAGGGGGTCACACCCCAACTTTGCATTGTTCAGGGGTCAAATGTATATTCAGAACTACCTCATATACATATCTCTGCATGCTTGTGCACTTACTGCCTTTGGTTGTACTTGCCTAGAAGTGATCTGCTGAATTAAGTGGGATATGGAATTTTCAATCTTAATACAGATTACTAAAATTCTCTATAGGAAGATTATATAAAGTTGTATCTCAATGTCAATGTACAAGAACCTTTCTCCCCACAACCTTGCTGACCACAAGTATTAATCTTTTTTTATCTTTGTCCAATAGTTAAAAAAAAAATCTTTATCACTGTAAGGTGCATCTCTTTGAATTTCTTAAGTCCAATTTGTTTTTTAGTTATCTTCTTCTTACTGATTTATTAAGAACTCTCCCTTTAGGGACGCCTGGGTGGCTCAGTCAGTTAAACATCTGCCTTTGGCTCAGGTCATGATCCCAGGATCCTGGGATCGAGCCCCGCATCGGGCTCTCTGCTCCGCAGGAAGCCTGCTTCTCCCTCTCCCACTCCCCCTGCTTGTGTTCCCTCTCTCGCCATGTCTCTCTGTCAAATGAAAAATAAAATCTTAAAAAAAAAAAAAAACTTTAAAAAAAGTCTCCCTTTACGTGAAAGATATTTATACGAAGAAAATTACCAATCTACCACATACCTTTAGAACTTGTTAACAAATTTACTTCTATACAAAAGGTTAATAGTTACAGAAACCAAATCCTTTGTTTCCAGGTTTGATGTAATGCTAAGAAAGGCTTTCCCTAACCATTTAAAAATATTTTTTAGGGCCGACTCTTTGATTTCAGCTCAGGTCATGATCTCGAAATTGAGCCCGAGATCAGGCTCTGCACAGGGCGTGATGCCTGCTTGGGATTTGCGCCCTCCCTCTCCCTCTGCTCCCGCCCCACCCCACCTCCAGCCCCCCAACCCCCATGCTATCTCTCTTTCCAAAAAAAAAAAAAAAAAAATTTATTTATTTTTTTAAATTTTCTTATAGAACTTCTAAGGGGTTTTAGCATATAACCTTTAATCCATCTGGAACCTCTTTTCACGTATGCTATGAAGGACAATCTAATTTTTAGATTAGCCAGCAATCCAACATAGGAGTGAGAGTCATTTTCTTCATTTGGCTTACCTATACCTTCTTATCTCTACAATAACCATGTTATTTTAGTTGTGTAAAAAAGAAATTTTTTTCTGCATCTCTTAGATTCATCCTAATTGTTCAAAAATAAATACCTGGGGTTTAATTCCAGTTACCTGTCTTTTGGATCCCAGCTAAAGAAAACATTTAAGTCTCTGTTGTCTCGCAAGCCTTCCCATGGAATGTCATCTTCTTCTGGCCGAAGATTCATTGACTTTATACTTTCTGCTAAACTGGTTGATCTGTGATATAGAAAATTTATGTATTATTTCAGTAGTAAAACAGCCATGAAACCATATTAGCTACAACTCTGTTTTACTAGAAAGGACAAGAAAGAGGAAGAAGGATTTACTATTAAGAAGTAAAAGTTCACAGAGGATGACACAGAACCAAGCCCATATCATGCTGGCCTGCTACACAGCAAGAGAAAGCATCTGGAAGTGGATCAACATTAATTCCTGAAATCCCATGTTTAACAGGGGAAGGGAAACCCTTTAAACACCACATGGAGTGGGGTGGCTGGCTTGTGTACGTGACATGAGATGGTGCGGTACTGGTAGCGCCCATCATTCCCCACGACATGACCTGGGTCATTTCCCCTTTCTTCTCTATTCCCAACTTCCTCTCTCTCATTCTCTCTTTTTTCCCCCCCATTTTTACTTAGCCTAGGCCTGCTATTATCACCCAGGAGCCCATTAATGGCTCTCAGGTTCTGATCTAATCCTTAGTTCCTTTTTAGCTCTTGTGCAATACTTACATATTTGCTTCAAGTAGAAGGTCTAATAACATCCGTTCAGTACGGACTTGTGCAAAATGAAGAGAATTATTCAGCCTGTTCCTAAAAGCGATAAACTCTGGGATCTTCTCAAATGCACCATATTTGTAAGCTTGAATAATATATTCTGAGGTCTGGGAAGGAAAGACATCACCTCCGTATAAATATTTCACAGATCAGACAATGAAGGCAAACCTTGCCAGGCAAAACAAAACACTCAAACTAAAAATTAAGATGTGAAATCTAATCTTTAAAGGTTATCAAGTAGAATATCGGCTTTAAAAAACATTATTTTTCTTCTTTCCTATACCAGAGTCGTATGTGTACTTTACTAATTCTACTACTACTAATATCCAGCTGCTGCTACCACCACAGAGACTTTCTCTTAGCAGTTATGTCTTTCAATTCAGTAGGACTGGAGGTTTTGTGATACCACATCAGTTTGTTAGTGCCATTGTGGAAGGGATGTTACTCCATGTTTTTCTGCATCTAGGATAAATTGTGTTTTATACAAAGGTTCCAAAAACACCAGAATAATATAACCACCCCACCACCAACCCAAATAAAAATCACCCTCCTCCAGAAAAAAGACAGGCTGCTCCTTGGTTTTGTTTATTTCTGAGTACTATGTATCACAAACACAGGGCATATATGCATTACATCAGGATAGAAGACAACAAACAAAAGACCCATAAGAATTCATCAGACTCCATTCTGAGGACAGAAGGACTGCAAGAACCAGGTTTCTTGTCCATCCAAACTACGTAAGACCTATACTGGAAAATTCCATGAAGAAGTAAGTGAAGGGAACACTCACCACATGCGCTTTAATTTTAGATTAATACATATGTATAGATGAACTGTTGTGAACAGAGGCAAGAAAAAGAACTGTCAACAGAAATTCTGGCACAACAGAAGAAAATCTCAGGGAAGAACATTTCATGGGTATGGGCCTATGCCATCAGGATCAGAAGTCAGAAGGGTACCCTTTTGGGCCAAGGAATGTTAAGCTCAAAGTAGATGTCTGCCCCAAAGAACCTTTCTAGAAAAGCCAGTCTTTTTACACAGCCTCAGTCAGCTCAGCCCCCATCTCCATTATGACTGAATTATTTGCCCAATAGGAAAATAGGCCAATAGTCAACAACATACCCTCTGATATACAGCCTCGCAGGGTTCATTTCAGGCCGCGGGATTGCGCCACGGGCGCTAATTCAACTGCATTCGATGCGGCTTTTAAACCCCATGGGACACCTCGGCGAGCTGTTTGCCTGCAGTATCTGGAGAAATTAAAGACGGACGGACACAAGAAAATTAAAAAGATTACTTGTGATCCTGCAGGTTTAAAGAAGGACTATCCGAAAAAGCTCAAGTGTACCTTCTAGCCTGATTAAAGGACAGTGATATGCCCCATCAAGAAGAGGCCAGGATACTCTAAACACAACATGCCTATCCGATGGCCTCTTGGCTTGGAAAAAGCAAGGTTTACCATCAGCCCTTGCAACACGAACTTACAGCTTGAAAAAACCAGCTGCTTAGGAACAAAATGATCCAGCAATTAATCAGGATAAAAACAGGACTTCTGGGGATTCCAATCAAATTTCTCAATCACAGCTCCAAAATATGCTGATTAAAGAAAAGAACTCAGCTTTACAAAGTATAGAGGCAGTTTTAGTTTCTGAGTGGTCTGTGGAATATCACTTTTGAAAAAAAGGCAGTAACTTTTTATAAAAGAAAAACAAGGGGCAACAGAAAGGGAATGTAGTCCTTTAACAAACTGAGAAGGTAACTGCAGCTCTCTGGTTTCTGTTTTTAAGGTAGTCCTCCTTTAATGCTGCAGCAAAGTATCACTGCAGAGCTAGAAAAGGGCCTGGGCATCCTGCAGTAAGACTGAGCATGAGAGAGGTCTACAATTTGAAGAGACAACCCCTACTGGAACTGCAGGCAAAACCAGAAGCCACAGGCACTTTAAAAACTTTTGAGTATCAGAGAATGTTGTCCGTACCTATTTCTACTCATTTAGTGCACCATGAGGCTAGTTATATCCCATATGGATTCCTGAAATGAACCCTGGTCACTGTAAAAATTAACAAAATAGATGGACATCAAACCCTGAATGATCATCTTCATGAATACCAGAACAGACTTTTAAAGGGAAATTATTTTTAAAGTACAAACACATAAGTAACTTTTGGAGATAAGAAGATCTGGCTCTAAGTCTCATATTGTAAAAAATCTATTCCAAAGTAAGATGACAGCAACAATGATGACCTTTCCAGAAAGAAAATCCCTGTGTAGACCTTCCAAATATAACTTTCAATCCCACAGCACAAAGCCTTACAAAGCAGAACACTGGATTTTCCAGTTAAGGAGTAAAAGTGTTCTTTCAAAGAGCAAGTTGGGAATTGAAATACATCAGTCACTCAAAAAAAACCATCTGCGGATCTCAAAAACTACCAAGAATAAAAGACACAGAACACAGAGCTTTAGGTTTCCAGAGATGTATCTAATACTATCAGAAGGTTTAACACATACAAGGCAACACTAAAACCATGCTCTTTCTTATCCTCAAATTCCTATAGGAAACAGTCCACACCACAGTCTCCAGTTCCCTATTTTGGGACTCAAGCTAGGCATGAAGGTTTAAGGTGCATTTTCCTTGACGTATTGGTTTTTGCTTTTGCCTCTAGGGCTCCCCAAAGATTATTTACTTCAGTAAGATTAAACTATTTCTTCTTGGTAGTAATAAAAATAAATTTCAAGCAGAGTCCTATTCCCAGATCAATAAAATGATCAGTCCCAGCATCACATATATTCAGACCAATTAGTCACTCCTGCTACACATGCATCAGCAAAACTTCAAAGATAAAAAAAAAAAGCCACTGAGAATAAAATATCCTCTCAAATCATTCCTGAGGATCTCCTTTCTCTGTAACAATAACTTGTTTTGTTTTGGGGTGGGTGTGTTTTGTTTTCAAAACAACTCTTTAGACACAATAATTGTGGGGAAAAAATTAAAGGTTAATTTTCAGTAGTATATGAAATGTGCCTTATTGACCAAATCAGGAACAATATGATGCTTCTAGAATGCTGGATGATTAAAAACTAGAATAAAACCAGCCACCAGGCATGGATTAATCTCTTATTTACCCCCGAGTTCCACCTCAGAGCTATTTGAGAAACAAAACTTTGAAAAGGAGTCATTAATAAATCAAATATTTCTTTAACCTCTTTCTTAGAAATACAGAAATGACAGCCAGAATAATGAGATCTGAGAAACAGTTTTGATTTTTTTTCCCCTTGACTTAGTGAAACTTCTTAAGAACAGAGAAGGGCAAGCACAGATACCTGAACACACAGTACAAACACAGATTTATAACTCAACTGCCTACTTGTGTTAGGACATTTTAGAAACCCAAGGTCCTAGAGATGCCCTCGGATCTCTAAGCCAGGCCAGCACCTTCCAGGCAGCATGTTCAAATGCTGATGACTACTTCCTTCTCTCCTTGATCAGGAGCTATGACACAAAATAAGGTATGAATAGAGATCCCAATCATTGGAGGAAGGGCACCACAGGGGAAGGGGAATAGGGCTTAAAGCCAACTGATGCACAGCTTACCATCCCTTGCTACACCAGCCCTCTAGGCCTTCCCCTAAAGCTTGTCAGGACAAAATTACTGCAAGCTGACAACAATAAACCTATATTCCATTGTTCAGAAATGCTTCTGCTCTGTCTTCTATTTAATACAAGGCTAAAGAATTCAATGCAAGATAGATTAGCCACAGCTATTAAGGTTACAAAAGAACCACCCCAAAAACCAGCTTTCTTGCCAAGTTCCTTAGTTGCTGTTAGACCATGAAAACAGAAAACTATGGGCAGATACCTGGCATGGCCGAATTCCAGGCAATGAGTTTTAGAAGCACATGAGAACAAAGCAGGCAATGACCATCCTAGAGACTCGCCTTCTTTTCACCTGTGTTCTAGGTGGGTTTGCACAGCTGGTTGACTGACTAGAGACTACATAAAACTTCTGCTTAACTGACAAGTGGAGACCAAGTCTGCTTGCAGTGAAAAATATGGTGCAAATCCCATCCTTTCATTACGGCACATAGCTCTATGTTATCTATTGTTCTACCTTATTTATTGCTACTTTAAAACACACTATTGACACAAGTTTCTTGAAATGTCCTTCAACTGGTCAATTTTATAATTCTCAGAAAATACGAGTGCACTGGCTGTGGGCAAGGAGCACGGTAGTATAAACTTCAGAAATAAAGAAAGAGCAGCTGCTATTGCAGAATCTTCTATGGCATCCCAGGCCAGAAACACTTACGGGTTACCTCTTATACCCTTAGAAAAAGTCTCTTAGAAATTAAAAGATAGGTCTAAGAGGAATACCACTTCCTACTCTGTAATACCATTTTAACTATACCTCTGCATGGATTCTATTAAACACACCCATTCTAGCAACCACAAATAACTCTTTATCTCTACCTAACAAGACGTGGCCAGTAAGCTATGGCCTAAGGGCACTTGCAAGTACGCATGGTGCACCTCAACATGCGCGCTTGCCACATGAGGGAAGATGTTCTCTGAATCGTGTGCATTCAGCAGACAAGAACGTATTTAAAAAAAATATTTTTCACTTACATCTTTCTGGTTGGAGTGGAAAAACCTGAGTGCGAAGTTACAGGATTGGGATGCAGCAGCATACTGACCTAGGGATTCGGCGTATCGGGTCAAAAGATAGCTAGGTCAGAAGGGAAAAAAAGAGAAAAAAAAGTGTGTTATACTTACCACCTCCAGTATCAACTACACTTCAAATTATTATAGCAGAGAAATAGGCACACAGGAAAGTTAAAATATCTTGCCACATAAATTATCTCATTCACAGAGTCAATTTTTTTTTAAAAAGAGCAAAGTTATTTCAGTTTTGTGGGAGACCTAAAGCTCTATGCCATGCTTTCTTAGGCTCAGATGATTAATGGAACCAAAGGGAATAGAGAAAATACCCTTGATTCATCATAAAGAATAGTCAAAACACAAATTCAAAGGATCTCTAAGGTCAACAAATAAAGTACATGTGTTAATCTCAACTGCAAAGCAGAAATAAAGACTTCAAGACAATGTGTGCTAAGAAAAAGTGTTCAAAGTATATAGCTGTTTGCTATCTCTGGGGAAAATTTTGTTACCTTTTCAAAACTGTGCAAATTTAAAAGTTACTATTAAATTCTGGAAGATATAAAAATCTTTCTGCTTTGCAATGGGTCATCATGGGGGATTACTTAATCTAAAAAGCTTAATAACAGAAACAACTCTATTGCTAAAATTGAAGAGTTTGTGCTCCTGGCATAAACTGGCTGGTGCAGCTGGCTGCTCAGTATTCAGAGTATATACTACCAACCCAATGGTGTCATGCTGGATATGCTTAGCATCGAGGCTGGAATACAGATCCACCACTGGTTCAAATGCCCCCAGCACACAGTAGATTCGAACAAGCAGCAATTTGAATTGAGCATTGGAAGGGCTGTGGGTTAATCCCTCTTCCAGCAAAGTCAGGGCCTGCCACACAGCAGTCTGGTCACCTAGAACCAAAATGTAACAGTATTACCCACAGTATTTAGCAGCAAATGGAGGCTTCTCACAAACAAAAGACAAAAACTTACTGATATCATCAGCTCCTCTAACTATCTGAAGAATGAGTTTAGGTGTCAAAGAACAAATTTTAGATACACACCTGTAAGCAAAATAGGGATTCCCAGGATAGACAGTTTCTCAATAGTTACCTCAGTTCTTAAACATGCATGTGCAAAAGTGATGCAAACTTTAAGTTGCGAGGTCTTATGAAAGAAGTTATAGAATCTCCGAGAATCCTAGATTCTGAAAAGAGATGGACTTTGCAGGAGAATTTGAGTCCACCAACCTTCCCAGTACAGGATTTTCTCTACCAGACCCCAGAAAGATGCTCTCTCTAGACAACATTTTTCTTCCATATGTAACTCTACTATTCAGATGTCAAGTGATATTTGAAAAAAGCTGTTCATTAATAATCAAATTAATATAATATACTTATTTTTGGCCTACCAAAATTCAATAGTCTTAAATCAATAGTCTTAAAGATTAAGTAACTTCTCTTTTATGAACCTAAGAAAATAATATGAACTGGAGGTAAAGATTTATATACAAAAATATTCACTGTACTAATAATGGGGGAATGATTAAATAAATTATAGTAAAACCCACATTATGCAGCCATCTGACATTAATGAGTTTTTAGTAATAAAGGAAAATACTTATACAGTAACAGTTCAGTAAAACACACAGAATTCAAATTAATGTGAAGATGTGATCTTTAGTCTATAAGACATGCACAGAAAAAAAGACAAGGAAATATGCCAAATTTTAGAATGCCTTTTGGAAGATGGAAAAGTAAGATTAAAATAAACTGTTTCCCAAAACTTTTTTTTTTTTTAAGATTTTATTTATTTATTTGGCAGAGAGAGACACAGCGAGAGAGGGAACACAAGCAGGGGGAGTGGGAGAGGGAGAAGCAGGCTTGCCGTGGAGCAGGGAGCCCGATGCAGGGCTCGATCCCAGGACACTGGGATCATGACCTGAGCTGAAGGCAGATACTTAATGATTGAGCCACTCAGGCGTGTGCCCATTTCCCAAAACTTTTATAAGTTATTTTTACAGTCAGAAAAAAACTGAAACTTAAAGTAAAAGCTCTATGCCTTGAGCTTTTCGAATTATATGCTACAGACTTTTTTCTAAAAGAAATGAGAAATAATCAAAAATTGGGGCTTTAGATAAATATCCATAATCCTACCCAAACTATGCATATGTATAATCTACGCAAACTACCATTGATTTTAATGTATTGCCTTTGAATCAGAATTACTTTTACACAGTAATAATCACAACATACATCTAATTTTGGGTTCTGCTCTTTGAAGTATTTTTCCATGTTGCTACCTAGTCTTCACAACCATAATTTTACTGAATTCAACACTTTCTGATTTAAACTCTGGAGCAACACTAGATATAGGACCGGAGGATAAGGGTCACAGGTGATTCCTGGCCTCAAGGGGCTCAGAGGTAAGTAGAGAAAACAGCTGGACAATTAAAGGGAATAAATAATTTTAAGAAGTCCTAGTTACTCAGGGTGCCTGGGTGGCTCAGTCACTTAGGCAACCAACTCTTGGTTTCAGCTTGGGTCATGATCTCAGAGTCGTGAGATCAAGCCCCACATGGAACCAGTTCTGTGCTCAGCAGGGAGTCGGCTTGAGGGTTCTCTCCCTCTGCCCCTCCCCCAACTGGTGTGCACACTTACTCTTCACTCTCTCTCTGAAATAAATAAATAAATCTTAAAAAAAAAAATGGGGTGCCTGGGTGGCTCAGTGGGTTAAGCATCTGCCTTTGGCTCAGGTCATGATCCCAGGGTCCTGGGATCTAGCTGTGTGTCGGGCTCCCTGCTCAGAGGGGAGTATGCTTCTCCCTCTGCCCCTCCCCCAGCTCATGCTCTCTCTCTCTCTCTCTCTCTCAAATAAATATCTTTAAAAAAAAAAAAGTCCTAGTTACTCAAAGATAACTAGTATTAAAAAAATAATCTCCTTAAAACAGAAACAAAATTTCAAACTAAATAGCAAAAAAAAAGAATAATTTACACTTCTTTCCAAACTATTAAACCGTTATAAAGATATTATTTTGCAAAATTTATGCTGTAACTACAACTCTATGCAAATTCTTCACCAAATCAAAAGAGCATCAAGCAAAAAAAGAAAAGAACATGAAGGACTGATTAGACTTTTTGAGAAAAAATTTTTCTAACTAAATGTTGTACTATAACAAAATGATATATTCTAGGGATATGTTAATGTATAGCATGCACTACAGATAACAATACTGTACTGCATACTCAAAAGCTGCTAGGAGAGTAGATCTTAATATTTCTCATCACAAGGAAAAACATCTAACTATGGGGTGATAGATGTTAACTAAACTTATGGTGGTAATCATTTCATAATATACATACATCAAATCATCATGTTATACATCTTAAGCTATACAATCTTAAGCTAATACAATGTAATATGTCAATCACATTTCTTCAATAAAACTAGAGGGAAAAAAGGATCCTTAACTCCCCATTTTACTTTTGCAGAATCATAAACAAACGCCTTTTTGCAAAATATCTGAGAGCATCATCAACTTCTTAAAGTGCTCTTCTTAATCTTTCACATTCAAATCAGTCTCTTCCAACATCCGTACCAAATTTCTATAGATTTCTAGTATCTGTCAGATCCACCTTGGACAATGACTATACCTCTAATTAGAGCACTTCAACATCACTTTCAGTGACTGCAAGAAACCTGGCATCTTTATAATATTGGCAATTTTCCAATGCATCTGCACTGTATGATTATGGAAAATTTGCTTAACTTCTTTCTCTCTGCCCTGTCTTTCCTTCACCTATAAAACTGCACCAATCTTAACTGTATTATTATGAGGTTTACATTATCTAATTCATGTAAAGCACTTTCAAGTGCCTGATGATCAACAATTGCTAGCCGCTACTGCTATATTGGGCATATTGCTCAAAAAAACAAGGGATTAGCAAAGCCATATAGTCACTTATGAGCAAGAATGGATGCTAGAATAAGTGGGGAAGGGTATCTGAGTAGGAACCAAATTACTAAGAGGTCAGTTCATTAATGATTTTTTTTTTTTAAGCTCTATGCAAACTCACTATTCTGGGGCTCAGATGACAAAGACTGATAAAAAGGATTTCACCCCCATCTCCAGTACAATATAGTATAACAAGTACTAGCACAGGGGTACACACAACGTCCTACAAAAGTTGAGAAGGGGCATAAAATCTGCAGTGGGGGAGGGGGGTGAAATCAAGACAGGCTTGTCAGAGGTACCGTTTGAGTAAAAGTTAGATGAAGGAAGGAAGAAAGTTATTTCAAAGAGAGGCACATGATGTTCACTAATACCAGCAAACAAAAAAACAGCAGATTTAGGCTGTAAGTACCTAAGAATTTGGAGATACAGGCAGAGGCTAGATTATAAAGAGCATTGTAAACTATCCTAAAGAGGTTGACCTTTATCCTCAGGAAAGTAGGGCACCTCTGAAGGATTTTAAGCATGAGGATGATGGTATCAAAATCAAGTGCTCCATGAAATGATCCCGAGGACAGGCCTTGTGTCCATCATGCACAGTACTGTCTCCCCAGGCCTTTGTGTAGTTTATTCTCGTGAATAATATGCAATAAGTACCTATTTTTTCCCCAAAAAACTGCTAATAAAAGAAAATGTCAGGAGTGAGACCTACAGAAAAGGTAATCTCAATACCATTTGCTGAATCATCCTTTTCTTGCTCAATGATATATGATGCTTCCTTCAGCATATATTGTATTTCTGTCCTAAATAGGTTAATTACAATTATATTCCAAAAAGAGTGCATTCTTCTAAACATTTTTTAAGTGAATAAAAAGGGCTACTCCATTTCATGGGCCTATACATCTATCTCTGAATCAGTTTCTCTATATTTTAATTGTTGCAACTTCGTCATTATTCACTATTTAGAAATGTTTAAAAACAGAACAAAAAACAAGAAATAACATGTATTGACAAGGATGTGGAGAGAAAGGATCCCTCATGCACTGCTGGTGGGAATATAAATTGGTGCAGCCATTGTGGAAAACAGTATGGAGGTTCCTCAAAAAATTAAAAATAGAAATATCATATGATTCAGTAATTCCATTACTGGGTATTTACCAAAAGAAAATGAAAATATTAACTCAAAAAGATACACGCACCCCTATGTTTACTGCAGCATTATTTACAACAGCCAGGATATGGAAGCAAACCAAGTGTCCATCAATAGATGAATGGATAAAGAAGATGTGGTACACACACACACGCACACACGAATATTATTCAGCCATAAAAAAGAATATTTTGCCATTTCCAACAACATGGATGGACCTAGAGGGTATTATGCTAAGTGAAATAAGCTAGAGAAAGACAAATACCATATGATTTCACTTATATGTGTAATCTAAAAAATAAAATGAACAAACAAAAAAGCAGACACAGACCTATAAATACAGAGAACTGGTGGTTGTCAGGAGGGGTGGGGGTGGCAAAAAGAGGAGTGGGAGGTGCAAACTTCCAGTCATGAAATGAATAAGCCACAGGGATGAAAGGCACAGCATAGGAAATATAGTCAATGGTATTGTAACAGCGGTGTATGGTGAGAGATGGTGGCTACATTTGTGGTGAGCATAGCATGATGTACAGAATTGTCGAATCACTATGTTGTACACTTGAAATTAATGTAATGTGTGTCAACTATACTTCAATTTAACAAAATTTAAAAAATACAGAACAGATGTGCACTGATTTAAGACTATCCTGATTACAGAGAGGGGGATATCTGGAGAAGGGTTCTTCTAGAAGCACCCTGGAGAAGGGCAAGGAGGAAAAACCTAAAAGCATAAATCAAATTCTTGGATTATATAATCAGTCTCAGGATTTATAATCAATAAAAGCAAAGCGTAAAGTTAAACTGAAATTACTCTTCCTTACCTGTTTCTCTCCATATATCAATAAGCACATGGACAGCAAGGAGACAGTAATAGTCTGAAAACTGCAATTCGGTTTTCAAACAGGATTTCCCTGTAGGGAAAAAATCCCATATTTGTATTTTAACATTTGTTCAACTAACACTGCCCCAAAGGAGTTTTTTAAAGCAGGAAAGTGATAGGAGGGAGAAGATAAAAAGAGGAAATGAAAGTAGTAAGAGTCGTGTAAATACCAGAAGGAAAATATAAGCCATGAATCAAAGGATTCAAAAGAAGGTTTAAGGCCACACTCAGCTGGAAAAGAAGAAAGAGTTCCAGAACAAAGGTGGTATCTGCAATGGCCCCAAAAGGGAGAGCAGCAAGATTTGGAAGGTTTCAGGTAAAGAGAAGAACAGAAGCCAAGGGCCATGTACAACTAAAGTAATAGTACGCTCTTTACTTTGCCTAATGATTTAGAATACAGTTAGAGAAACACTGACATCATCTCGTCACATAATTACACTTTATCACATATATCTAGCAAAAAGATCATCTACTTCTAAACTAAACATTTACCTCATAATTTACAACATTCATTTTGTTCAATTTCAGTCTATATATTAAAATACTAAGGCCTATAAGGAGAAAATGTCACAATTAACCATAAACTCCATGTAATTCATATGAGCCCCAGTGTAATAGAGTTAGCTCAATCAAGAATATGGACAACTATAATTATTTAAAGCCCCAAACTTAAGAAAGGTTTTACATGTGAACAGTCTTCCCACCTGACAAAATTTCTCCTTGCCAAATTCATTAAAACAAGGTGCTCTGAGTGGTGGTAAAAACAACAACAACAACAACAACAAAAAACAACAAAAATGGACTAAAATTTAGCAAATCAGGCAACTATTACACATTTTGAAAGAATGCTCACCAAATTCTAGTCCATGCTGGTACCTTAACATGAGTTCTCTGACCACATTCAGTTTCTGACTTTTATCCATAGTGTGGTACAAGCCGAGCAACCTCGTCAGCTGCACCACACACAGATGCTGCTGCAGAGCTCTGATGTCCGCGGGCAATGCCAGCTTATCCTCAGTTGGTGTCGACAAAGGAACAACTCCAAGTAACTGATTAATAAACTGCAATGTAGAAAAAAGGAGCACAGATCTCAAAACAGAACTCATCTTTGGTAGGCCATAATTAACAAACGTTGAAATGATCGAGAAAAAGACTTTTTTTTTTTTTTTTAAGATTTTATTTAGGGGCGCCTGGGTGGCTCAGTTGGTTAAGCGTCTGCCTTTGGCTCAGGTCATGATCCTGGAGTCCCGGGATCAAGTCCTGCATCGGGCTCCCTGCTCAGCAGGGAGTCTGCTTCTCCCTCTGACCCTCGCCCCTCTCATGTGCGCTCTCTTTCTCTTTCTCTCTCTTTCTCGCTCTCTCAAATAAATAAATAAATAAATAAAATCTTTAAAAAGAAAAAAATTTTATTTATTTGACAGAGAGAGAGATGGCGAGACAGGGAACACAAGCAGGGGGAGTGGGAGAGGGAGAAGCAGGCTTCCCGCAGAGCAGGGAGCCCGATGCAGGGCTCGATCCCAGGACTCTGGGATCATGACCTGAGCTGAAGGCAGACTCTTAACGACTGAGCCACCCAGGCATCCCAAGACGTTTTCTATTTACCATAATTACTAAAACAAAAAAGTTTCTAACAGCACACAATGCTGGTAAAAGGCCAATGAAAATGGCATGCATACTCATCCAATGCTGGCCACAAATAACCTGTCAATACTGGGTACTATAGTAACTAAAAGATTAAAAGAATTGTGAAAGTGTTTCATATATTATTCCACATCAACATAATATATGATATGACAATGAAAAGTTTAATTAGACTATAAAAAGAGCAGATTACAAAAAACAAACCTACAATTACAACTGATATACAAGTAAATTCTTAAAGAAAATAAGACACATTGAGAGGAATAGTTATGTCAGTGGCCTTAAATGATTTTTTAATTAAAGTTTTATTTTGAGATAATTACAGATTCACATGCAGTTGTTAAGAAATAATCCAGAGAGATCCCAAGTACCCTTCTCATCCAGTTTCTCCCAATGGTAACATCTTGCATTAAACTGTTTTTAATTCAGGGCGCCTGGGTGGCTCAGTCGGTTATGCATCTGCCTTCAGCTTGGGTCATGATCCCAGACTCTGGGATCGTGCTCAGCAGGGAGTCTGCTTCTCCCTCTGCCCTTTACCCCACTCATGCTCTCTCTTTCTCACTCTCTCAAATAAATAAAATCTTTTAAAATAAATAAAACATTTTTAATTCTTTAAATTTGTAAGAATTTAAAAAAAGTACCGTTTCCATTACACATTATTAAACACAGGCTTATTCCTCACTGCCAAAATCCTATTAAGATGACAACAAAGAATCAAACCACAAGGATCAAGAACATGTGAAAAGATGACAGCAAATAAAAAACATTAACAAGATTTCAAAGATAAAAAGCAAAAGGACAGGTGTTAAGTGCTAACCTACCCGCACAGGGCAGAAAGCTAATATACACAAGGGGCCTCGAGTCTATTCCAGCCACAGAATCTTGGAAGGCAGAAATTCAGGGCACTAGAAAGTTCAAGTGTTGGTAGGATGGAACAGAAGAATTGGTTAAATTCCATCTAAGAAGTTTGACCCCTCCCCTAGCTCACAGACTGACTTCCTAAACCCAGCAGAAGCCTGCAGTTTTACTCCCAAGGAGAAGCTGAACCAGAGGCACTGAAGACTCAGGGATATCAGGCATAGCTAGAAATGGTGTTTTTGTTTGTTTGTGTGTTTGTTTGTATTTATTTATTTATTTATATTTGACAGAGAGAGACACAGCGAGAGAGGGAACCCAAGCAGGGGGAGTGGGAGAGGAAGAAGCAGGCTTCCCGCGGAGCAGGGAGCCCAACACAGGGCTCAATCCCAGGACCCTGGGATCATGACCTGAGCCAAAGGCAGACGCCTAACGACTGAGCCACATAGGTACCCCCAAACTGCTATTTTTAATTGTTTGAGGAAGCTCCGTACTGTTTTCCACAGTGGCTACACAGCTTGCATTCCCACCAACACTGCACAAGGGTTCCTTTTACTCCACATCCTCACCTACCATATGATCCAGTTATCACACTACTGGGTATCCACCCAAAGAATACGAAAACACCAATTCAAAGGGATACATGCACCCCTATGTTTACTGCAGCATTATTTACAATAGCCAAATTATAGAAGCAGCCCAAGTATCCATTAATAGATGAATGGATAAAGAAAATGTAGTGTATACACACAAACGCGTGTGCACCCGTACACACACTGGAGTATTATTCAGCCATAAAAAGGAATGAAATCTTGCCATTTACAACAACATGAATGGAGCTAAAGAGTATAATGCTAGGTGAAATAAGTCAGAGAAAGACAAACACCATGATTTCACTCATATGTGGAATTTAAGAAACAAAACAAATGAGCAAAGGGGGGAAAACTTGGCAAACCAAGAAACAGACTCTTACCTATAGAGAACAAACACGGTTACCAGAGGAGAGTTGGGTGGGGGATGGGTGGAATAGATGATGGGGATTAAACAGTACACTTATCATGATGAGCACTGAGTACCAGACAGAAATGCTGAATCATTATATTGTACATCTGAAACTCATTTAACTGTATGTACAATATACTGGAATTAAAATAAATGGATAAAACCTGTGTTAGCTTAAAAAAAAAAAAAAGAGGATAAAGTGAAACTCAGTTATTCAGTGATGAGTGCCCTGGCCCCCTCCCCCTACTCCCAACCAGATCCCAGAATGTCACATGCCAAATGTTTGAGACCCCAAACACAAGGGTGGCAAACAGGTTCTATGAAAAGTATTTCTGAGGGGCGCCTGGGTGGCTCAGTCGGTTAAGCGTCTGCCTTCACCTTAGGTCATGATCCCAGGGTCCTGGGATCAAGCACCATGTCGGACTCCCTGCTCGTTTGGGAATCTGCTTCTCCCTCTCCTCTCTCTCTCTCAAATAAATAAATAAAATCTTAAAAAAAAAAAGTATTTCTGGGGCACCTGGCTGGCTCAGTCGTTAAGCATTTGCCTTCGCCTCAGGTCATGAACCCACAGTCCTGGGACTGAGCCCCGCATTGGGCTCCCTGCTCCGCGGGAAGCCTGCTTCTCCCTCTCCCACTCCCCCTGCTTGTGTTCCCTTTCTCACTGTGTCTCTCTCTGTCAAATAAATAAATAAAATCTTAAAAAAAAAAAAAAGTATTTCTGAGGTGAGTGGTGAGGGGCAGGAGGATGGAGAAGGTTTGGGGGAGAATGAAACAGATGATCACCTCATGTTTTCGACTACACTAAGAGAATTTTATACTTTTATGGTTCTGTCAGATTGGGGTGAATCAAAAAAATATTACATCTGAGAAAGTAAGCTGTGCAAGAAAGGTAATCTCCATATACAAAGTGCTTCAGCCTTTGGTCATAAAAATATAAATTCTGAATAAACACTAAACTAAACTGGGGGGCAAGTACTCAAGGAGAGAAGTGGAATGTTGTAAACGAGATGATCCTCTTTCCACAAAAGTGCTCCAACAGATGAAGACTGTAACTGTAAAAATAAACTAACAGCTATACAAATCTGTAATTTAGAAATACAGAGGTAAATCACAGAAGACACAGTCAGGAGTTGAAAGTGATCTGGCTGTAGAGAGTCAGACCAGGGTGAGGGTGGCAAAGAGCTGCTACTGTTTTTCAATAGAAGCCTTATAGTACCATTTGGCTTCTTCAACTTTATCCATGTAATTTTTTGACAAAAATAAAAATTAAAAAGAAAACCCCACTCATGCAGTTTCACATCTGTAACAATTTTGCTTCAATTTGTCTCCAATTGTATGAGTTTTAATTATTATGATCAGATAATCATTTGCAACAAAGAAACTGCAGCACTGGTTTTCATTTTTTTTATTAAATGCCTATATAGTTTCTACTGCCCGCTGTTCCATTCTTGTTAGCTATTTTATATATTAGTGATGCTTAATATTAATGCCTTCTTCAGGGAATGTTGAAGAATCTTTCAGCTAGGTCTTGTCATGAAACAATACGTTCATTCTTTATTCTAGTCTGTACAGTTTTACTGCTATGCAAAAAACTTCTTTAAAAACTGGAATCATTTGTTTAGCTTAAAACCCCAAGGCAAAGGAAATCAAAAGATATAAACATCACTCTGGGTGAGCCACTTCAGGATAACTGGATTCAGTGGCCTACTAGTAGGGGCTAGTCCCAGTTTCAAAAGACTGGGACTACAGCTATCAGCTTGAAACCTACTTGGATGGCTTGCAATCCTCTGACAAACGCACTGCTGAGTGGCAGAATTTTTAGCTACTGAAGTCATCCTACACTTAAAAAGTTGTGGCAGCAAAATGACTCCTCTCAATGAAAAATTTACGTGGGACTACAAAACTCATTACAACAGCTTTAAACCCTTTGTCTCACAAAACAACGACTACCTATCACTGCTAGTATTCCAGCATTTCTAGAGGGTTCCTCTCAATAGATTATTACTATATGAGGTCACATGAGATGACCTAAGACTTTCAAACATACTAGTACAGTAGAGCTGCTTGTACTAGATACACATTAACAAACCCTTGTGAATCTCAGCTGAAGGTAATTTAAGTGTTCCTTTAATGCAGCCCCATTATTTGATGCAACTTCTAAGATGGGAAGCAATGAAGACATGATCAATTGTTCCATATCTTAGCACTTAGTACATAATATGTGCAACATAACTGAAGGAATCTCTTCAACGTGGTTCTAGATTCTGCTTAAATCTCTCTAGTAACATGAAACTCACACACTATATTTTTAGAGAATCTAACTACTAGAAAGATCTTTTTTTCACTGGCCAAATTTTGAATTCCCTGTAACAACTTCTTGCTGATCCCAATTCTCATTCCCCTTTTGTACAGGAGCTTTTCAATTATGAGAAAGGAAGGACTGTGTCCTCACCAGACCAAACCTCTCTTCCACTTAACCATTTCTCTTTCCTATGCTTTCAAGTCCTCCTACAACCCAGAACCCTTTTTCTGGATATGCAGCAATTAATCTGGAAAATCTAAAACTTGGCCTGAGCCCTGTAAGTACAGCACTCCAAGAATAGCTTTACTAAACAAAAGTGAATGGTGAGTCATTTCAGAACCAATAGAGACCACTGGCTACTTACCAGTTTGGGAATGCACTACTCCATCTGCCCTAGATACGTCACCTCAAGACTGCCAAGTATCAAGCCCGGTGGACTGAAGATATGACCACCAAACAAATACTCTAGTCACCTCCACTATGGAGGTGACAGAAGGCATTCTGGAATAACAGGTAGTGGTAACCCTGTGATAGGAAGGCTTCATTGCAACCTTCACTATTTACAGAGGTATTTATGAGTAAAACTGATCAAAGCCACAGACTTTCTTTTATACATGCCACTGTTTTCTTTATATGGTGCCCTTATCCTACCCCAAATACACTGTTCTTCCAATTGGTAGAATACTCCAGCTGCCCATTACCAAGGACACTCTGGACTAAATGCTACAAACCTTTAATGTGGAACAGGGTATGAAGTTCCCAGCAATGGGTGAGCAATCTGACCCAATACATGTTGCTGTGGATGAGGAGTCTAAAGATATGGCTCTCCATCTCATTATGTAATAGATTTACGTTGGTTCATTCACATCAAAAACTCCCAACATATGACAACTAACTACAATGTGGTACTCTGGATTAGATCACAGCACAGAAAAAGGACATTAATGGGAAAACTGGAGAAATCTAAATAAAATCTAGGGGTTAGTTAATAGTAATGTACCAATGTTGGTTTCTTAGTTTTGACAAATGTACCATGGTAATTAAGATATTAACAAGCAAGGGTTAAGAGTATGGTGTAACTTTCTGTACTATCTTTGTGACTTTCCGGTAAATCTAAAATTATTCCAAAATAAATGGATCAAAACGTAAAATCTTGCTCTGCAAAGGATCCTATTAAAGGATGAAAAGACAAGCACAGACTGGGAGAAAATATGTGAAACCACATATCTGACAAAGGAGTTGTACCTAGAATATCTAAACTCTCAAAACTCAAGATGTAAAGCAAACACCTTGAACAAGATGTAAAGCAAACAATCTAGAAAGGGAGCAAAAGACAGAAACACATTTCACTGAGAATATAAAGCTGGCAAATAAGCACATGAGAAGATGTTCAACATCATTAACCATTAGGGAAATGCACATTAAAACCACTATAAAATATCACTACGTACCTGCCAGAATGGCTAAAATAAAAAATAGTGACAACACTAAATGCTGATGAAGATGCAGAGAAACTGGATCACTCATTCACTGCTAACAGGAATTTAAAATGAAATGGCCACTGTGAAAGTTTGGCCATTTCTTTAAAGAAAAAAAAAACAAAAAAAAAACCTAAACATGTAGCTATCATTACACTACTGGGCATTTTTTTCAGAAATTAAGATTTAAATTCACACAAAAAAACCCACACACAAATGTCCACAGCAGCTCTATTTGTAAGAGCCCCAAACAAGAAACTGGATGTCCTTCAACAACTTAAAGAAATGGTGGCACATCCATACCACAGAATACTATTCAGCAATACAAAAGAATGAACTATTGAAACATGTAACATGGATGAAGCTCCAGGGAATTATGCTGAGGGAGGAAAAAAGTCAATCTCAAAAAGTTACACGTAATATGATTCTATTACATAACATTCTTAAAATGACAAAATTACACAAATAGAAACCATATTAGTGATTGCTAGGGGACAGAGACAGGGAAAGGGGAAGGTGCAGGGAAATGGCCTCAGGTAAAAAGGGGTAGCGCATGGGATCCTGGTGGTGGAACTGTTCTGTATCTTGAAGCTGGTGGGGGTCACTGAATCCACATGCACTACATACTGCACTAAATACACATGTAACGTACCACACATACACACACAGATGTAAAACTCATGAAATCTGGATACAGTCAGTGAATTGTATCAATGTCAATTTCCTAGTTATGATATTATACTATAGTTATGCAAGATGTTATCAATGCGGCAAAATGGGAATGGGGTATACAGAGCTCTCTGTATTATTTCTCTTACAACTACATGTAAAAAACAAAACAAAAACACACCAGAAAACACAAAGACAATCCAATTACCCATCAGAGGCTTATTCTCTTGGTGGCTTAATTTAACAAGAAATCATATCTTAGTCTGAGAGCACCTGGAGTCCTTGACCTTGGCATCTCGTGTTCACCACTCTCACACACAAATTTACCCTAGTTACAGTAAATACAGGCACCCAACAGAACTCTGAACTGTACTTACTTTTGTACACTGTGTAGCAGGCAAGAGGTCAACAAACACCTTGAGGTCTGTAAAACAACAAGGTTTATCCCCAAACTTTTTGAAATACTGGAACATTAATTCTTCTGGATCACCTAAGAGAGAGAAAAAAAGAAATCACTAAATTAATTCATGAGTGGAAGCAAATTCTAATTTAAGAGGTCTGATTTGAAAAACATTTATTTCAATTAAATTAAAATTTTGCTTGATGGTGTTCAGTCAGTTAAGGGTCTGCCTTCGGCTCAGGTCATGATGTCATGATCCTGCACCCTGCATCGGGCTCCCTGCTCAGTGGGAAGTCTGCTTCTCCCTCTGCCCCTCCTCCCAGCTTATGCTCTCTCTCTCTCAAATAATAAAATATTTTAAAAGATAAAAAATAAAATTTTGCTTGAATGCTTGAATGAGAATGACAATGAGGGCTGCAGGATGGCTTGCCCATTTAAACAAATACTTTAAAAAGGAGCTGAATCTTACAATCTCAGTTTACTTGTTATTACGCTTTGGAAATGTGACGCTTTTCATTAATTAAAGTTTAAATAGCTAAAAAGCTTTCATTAAAGTTTAAATAAAGACTGAAGTTTATATACAAACATTAAACAAACATGCTTCTTTCCACAGTTCTTAAACTACTTAACAAGTATTAAATGTTAACTAAATTAAAGGGAATGTTTAACAGGCACACTAACAGAAGAGAAAATAAATGGGAAGAGTCACAAGCCAATAACTCCCAACAAGCTCACTATGGAAAATTCAAACCTGGATCTGCAGAAGCTACCAGTGCCTTTTGTTTTTCCTCAAATTAAAAACAAAACAATTTTAAAAACAAAAACTAAAATAAAAAATAAAATGCTCTCAAACTGAACCAGAGTTTCTGTAAGATTTTAGGTGTTGGTTTCTGTTCACATTTCTGGGAACAAAAGTCCATGGCTTTCATCAGATTCTCAAAAGACTCTGATCCAAGACACTAAGAATCACCTACTGCTCTGGGTAAAAAAAATTTTGTGGGGGTGCCTGGGTGGCTTCAGTGGGTTAAGCATCTGCCTTAGGTTCAAGTCATGATCCCAAGGTCCTGGGATGGAGCCCTGCGTTGGGCTCCCTGCTCAGCGGGAGGTCTGCTCTCCCTCTCCTTCTGTCCCTCCCCCTGCTCGCGCTCTCCCTCAAATAAATAAATAAAATCTTAAAAAAAAAAATTTGTGGAGGGGCACCTGACTGGCTCAGTTGGTAGAGCATGTGACTCTTGATCTTGGGACTGTAAGTTGGCGCCCCATGTTGCTGGTAGAGTTTACTTCAAAAAAAAAAATCGTGGAGACTAACCAAACTCACAAATTTCTATTACGCAGGCTGGTAAGATGGAAGAGGAAGACAGGAGATGGACATAGCAAGTGCCAACACAGATCCAAATATTTTTAGTTCCAGCTTTGGAAAGAAGCAATTCTTTGGGATCTATCTTAACATTTTGCTGAGGCTCAAACAAAAATTTTCATTTGCAATTCTGGAACTAACAGAGACTAAGGTTTCTGAAGTAGACCTAAAAAAGTCAACATGGAATTCAAAAACTGGTTGTGAAAACTCTACAAAGGGAATGAGAGAAGCCCACAGTTAATTTCAGAATAAGCTGCAAAGAGCATTAGTTAGATGATTAAAATGAACAGAGACGATCTAAGATAGGTTTTAGAAACTGGAAGTGCTCATCATCTCAGGACAACTGGTGCCTAAACAAGACCCTTCTGATCAATTTTTTTTTTTAAAGATTTTATTTATTTATTTGACAGAGACAGATATAGCGAGAGAGGGAACACAAGCAGGGGGAGTGGGAGAGGGAGAAGCAGGCTTCCCGCGGAGCAGGGAGCCCGATGTG